TAAGCGCTTAGAGAAGGAACGGAAGGCCGAAGAGAAGCGATTGGCGGACGCGAAGAGGGCTGAGGAGAGCAAAGTGTGTCCACTCGATATGTTTACCGCAGAAACGGATAAATACTCGGCGTTTGACTCGAAAGGAATGCCGACTCACGACTTGGACGGCAAAGAGTTGGCCAAATCTGCGCTCAAAAAGCTCTCAAAATTATATGCAATTCAAGAGAAGAAACACAATGAATGCGTTAAATGTAAAGCTGTTTAAAATTGCATTAAGTTTTTTGTATCTCTTATTCAGAAAATGGATTTTCAATTGAATTATTATTATTTATAATTTGTATTTAATTTAATTAATTTATGAAAAAGTTTTTTAGAAAAGACATTAAGTATTACAATAGAAGAGACAAATTGATACCACAGTTAACAATGGATTAGCAAAACTTTCTTATAAATACAATGGACACAGAAATGTGGACAAACACTTTGATATACAATACATGAGCTGAAAATCATATGAAACGCCAATGAAATCGGTATTTAAAATAAAATAAAAACACAACATATTTTTCTGAATTACTGTATATTTATTGCTAAATATATTTCCAATAAAGAAATGTCTTTTCTTATCGTAAAAAATAGATTTTAAATTCAATTAAAATTTAAGACAAAATGGAAATTTGAAATTCAATGTGAATTTGAGGCTTAAAAATCAAATTATAAATCAATTATATTTAAAACTAAATAATAATAATAATAATTAGGAACACATTATTACAATTGTAATAATAATTAATTAATCGTAGACTCCGTTGGAAATGAATTGCAAAAAAATCTAATTGTGAACTAAAAAAGTTAAAATTAAAAATAAAATTAAACCAAAAAATCAATTAAAATAGAAAACAACTAATCTTTGGCAGAATTTGTCCGACTTTTTGGGACCGAATACTTGTCGCCCTTTCGACACTTTGGACAAAACCATTTGCCTTTCGGTATGTGTGAGAGTCGGACGCATTGAAAGTGGAACCACTCGATGGCACACGACTTGTTATCACAGCATATCATATCGCCGTAACTCACTTGACCGCACAGACAGTACGTGTCCTCATTCGGGTCCACAGCCTCCCCGATGTACACGTTGTCCACCGCTTTACTCGAATGGCCGCCCGAAGTGCCGGCCGTCGCGTTACTACCCGTAGTATTGGCACGACTTTTCTTGTGGTTACTATTATTGCTATTATTATTATTACTATAACTACTGCTGGAATTGTGGCTCCTCTTCGACGACTCTCTTTTGCCATTGGAGTGATTGGCGGCAGAGGACGAGGCAGTGGTCGACGCTGTGGTTGTCTTCTTCGGCGTTTCGTAGACATCCGACTCATCACTGAGTGATGAGATGCTCGACGATGAAGACGAAGAGGAGGCGGACGACGTCGATGAACACGAATTGGAGGACTTAGTGACTCGTTTGTGGACATCTCGACTATTGGTGTTCCCCTGTTTGGCAGCAGATCCAGGACTGGACACGAATAGACGCTTCATTGACTTTCTTTTAGGTTTTTTGACGCTTTGTTTCGATGGTTTCGCAGAAGACTTCTTGGTCTCAGTCGCTATTTTGGTCGCCATTTTGGATGCGTTGGGCTTTCGTTTGGCGGCCCGTCTTCTGGCCATATCTCTGTAGAAGTTGAAAGACATGGAAGAACTGAAGTTATGGTTCTTGTTGTAAGAGGTCTTCGACGACTTGATTATCTTATTTTGTGTCGCTTTCGGTGGCAAATAAGACTCGTCTTCGGCCTCAACGGTGTGGCCGTTCTTCACAGCACAGGCTCTGCGCGGAAGAAGTCGTTTATCGTTCAAACGACTCTCACTATTGTCTTCGTTAACGGATTTCTTGTATTTGTTGTCGTCTTTACCATCGCTGACGACACCATTCGTGGAATGATTGGAAGCGTTGTTTGAATTCAATTTGTTATTATGATTGCCATTAATACTACCACTACTACTGTCTCTACCATTAACGACAAGCGCGCGGCCGCCAAACCGGACCACCTCTTCGTAGTCGAGGTCCAGTTCTTTGGCCTTCGTTTCAATCAAATCGATAATAAGTTGAGAGTATTTAAGCTTTTCGTCCGACAGTTCTTGTATTTGAATCAATTGTGTCTCCAATTTCATCGCCAAACGGCGCCTCTTATCCATCAACGGGTCCGCCGATGACTGGCGCTCGGCGTTAGCGTTGTTCTGGTTATCGGCATCGATGGCGGCGGCGGTGGATGTGGTCATCAGTTTGTTATAATTTTCAATGTTTGTGTCCATTCTGTTGATGAGCTTCAGGTAACTGTTGTTCAAGACATGCAATTGAGTCAAATGTCTGGTGATATCATTGGGAGTGTTGTCCACTAAATCCAGAAACGAGTTGATATACTGAGCCATCGCTTGAGCCTCGATGGCGCTCATTGTGGCGCTCGAGTGGCCATTCGCTGAACCACTCATTGCCCGGCCGTCCACTCAAGACAGTGTCTTTGCGATCACTTCCAGATCAACTCTTATCACAGGCTTTGAGATCAGATTACTTCTGGCGGACCAATCGATCGCTACAAATGGCATCCATTGGTGACCAACACATACACAGACTATACCACAGACTCTGTTTGAGACCCAATGTCTGTACACAAGATGGACACCGAAAGAGAGGTAATGTGATTGTCTGATCAACTGATTGGGATCTTGGGATCAAATACAGTGATCGAGCAGTGAATCAATCGGTCGTCAAAATAATCATATGATTGGCTCTACAGTCAAATCTATTTACACCGTTTGTTAGCGTAACGCTCTCTATGAGTGACCCCTCATATGTTAAGCTATATTGGGGTCAAACATTTGTGCCCCAAATAATTGCCAATAAATAACAGCATATCATTATATTTTATATACTAATTATTATAAATTTAGTTGAATTTTAATAAAATTTAAAATTAATTGACATATAATTAAAAGTGAAATTGAATGACACGTGTAATGGATGTAATAATAATTAGAAAGCCCTCATTCACTGCACACACCCTTAATAGCCGTACGTCTTGTTTGAGTGGAACGTGTGATGTGTTGAGTCGGTGTCTAAACTACACGTGTATTACATTTGAAATAAACATCACATTTAAGTACAAGACATGAGTTTGAATGCAATCACGTGTCTGTCTGTGTTGGCCGCTGTCCTCCAAGTGATCGCCGGTGACTGTAAGGTCACGTCCAATACCTACTCGTCCAACGATGGCCTAGTGGTGGCCAAAGTGGCACATATTATCCAATTCACCGCTCAATGCGATGGCAAACCAAAAGGTATTCATCCCAACAGCTGATCCACACCAACATCGCTAATGTTTTATCATTTGTTGTCCAACAGGTCTACCGCTTTACGCCGATATCAACGGTCAGGCATTGCCGGCCATCCGATCGGATGACGTGTCCACCGGACAGACCTCTTATCAGGTATATTATGGGCGACTGATTGTTGCTGTGATTACTATCAGCAACCGATGCCTAACCCAGTGATGTGTCTCTTCCATAGATTTCATGGACAGTTGACTTAGCGATAGCCTCGTCGGGCAGTCATTCCATCGCCATCTACGACGAGGAGGGCTTCGGATCTCTGCGAAAGGCCCAGAGAGCGGGCGACGGTTCCCAGAGTCAAGTGAAGCCTCTGTTCACGTTAGAGTTGAGCCACTCGTCGCCCTATAGGGGTCCACTCCTACCGACGGAACTCGTGGCTACTGTGGCCGCACTCGGCCTCTGGTGGGCCGCCTATAGAGCGAAGAGTAAACTCACGAATTGAATTGATTCACAATTTTTAGTTCATCTCTAATTGTGTGGAAGTTTATAAGTTTAATAAAAAGTTATTTTAGTTAATTTATGAGATTTTTTATTTTAAACTTTAAATTAAAAAGTATTGGATATAATTACATTACTATTAACCAGGAACGATTGCTTAGCACCTAGGAATATGTAACATAATTGTAATTATTTATTTTAAATATTTTAATTTAAAAGCGTTTAAACGATTTTTTAAATGGTTTGCCTCTGTTAACACACGTATAGAATCTATACTTATATACTGTATCTACGGTTATTTGAATGGCCAATGCGTTAATACATGTACGGTATCATCATGGTAAAGACATTTACCATGATTTATAATCATTTTCTCTCTTTTATAATCGCATCGAAACACTATCTTTGATTGAACATTGAATATACAGTACTTTATTCTATGTATTCAAACATTGCTGTAATAACTGTATAATAATTAGTTATGAGAAAAGTAAACGTCGGAACAAAAGCTTTCTATTTTACTTATAATCATAAACTTTGACTTTTTTTGGTTTATTTATTTTTAAAGCCATAAATAATAGTTTGGGTGAACTCTCAAAACAAAGCCCACAGTAATGTTTGTTTCGGCTTTCCTTTTGTTTATGACTTCAATTCCCAGAGCTTTAAGAATAGCTGACACTTGAAGTTGCAATGTATGCAATCATTGGCACCGACTCTCACACCACACCATACCATACACTTCACTCTAATACACACTACAAGAGATTTACTACAAGTGTAGAGACGCCTACTCAGCCCTCTCTCTCTCTCTCTCTCTCTCTCTCTCTCTCATTTCTCTTCCAATCCTCTCTTTCTTATCCCTCTCTATAGAGAGTGAGTAGTGTTTTGTGTTTCACACAGAGTTTGCCAGTGAATTGACAGTACAATCGATGGTTACAAACATTCTTGTATTGGTTCCATGCGTTAGGGCTTCAGGTTATGAGAGAGATAGTAATGAGAAAATACCTGAACGCCAATTGCCATAACTTATCATTAGTTGTTCTGCCGGAGCATAAATGCCCACAAATGCAGGGTTTGAATTGTGCAAAACTATATCGTACTGTATTTATAATTAAGTGTACCGTTAAATATATGCTGTTTTTGTATTAAGCGTTTCAATTATTCTCGTCTAAACTAATGGTGTGATTAACAAAGAGTAATACAACAGTAATTGAATATAATTAGTGTAAAACATAGAATATCCCAATGTTTGCCAAATGTCTCCTATAATGATATCAACGATTATAAGAAATATCAATTTGAATGGAAATCAAACGATTAATGGTTGGGATGAGAAACCGGAGTGGATTTCGTTGCCTTGTGTTCATTATAATCGGTACTCTCCTATTCATCTCCACTCTCATCATTAGCATCGCTAGACGTATGTATAGTGTACTCAATATATAACTTATATAGTTTACATTGTCTTCAAATTCATTAGCAATCTATCGCTTATATTACAAGTAATTACCAGTAATTGACAGATAGAGTGATGTGTTAAGCCTTATGTGATGTTAGAATTTTAATGTGTTTTTCAATGTTCTAAATGTTAACAACAGCTGAAAAAACACACTATTTTTAATGCCTTTCAATAATTAATAGGAAATACAGTGAAAGTGTTTTTATTGAGAGAAGAAATGCACTCATTATATACACAACACATGATTCTTCGTATAATTAGTCAGGAATTCCGGGTTTTATTTCATCGATATTCACTATTTATACATTTATTATTCTGTAATTATATTTGAATTCATATTCATAACCTAATTATAATAATTAATTATAATTAAACCAATTGAATATTTATGTTCTAGAATTAGGAAACAATTAAATAAGTTCTATAATAAATTTATCAAGACAAATTAAATAATTATTTGAAAAATAAAACTTTTTACTGGTATTTAGACGAGCGCTCTCTACGTGAGCGACGGGAACGGCGTTTACTTGAGTTGATTCAGGCGCAGGACAACCAACAGCGGCGCCAGACATACGTCCGCAATGTGTGTTACCATCAGTACGGGTGGCGGCCGTTGAATGACACGCAATATGAGTCGTTGGTGGACACGATCGGCGCTTATTTAGATCACCTGATTGTGGACGACACCAATCAACTGATCTACTGTTTTGTGCCAAAAGTCGCGTCCACTAACTGGAAGCGAGTGCTTTTGGCGGTGAGTGGCGTCCGATCGGCGTCGGATCCGCCGGTCGACCCGCTCTACATAAAGGGCAATGAGTCACACGTTCCGCACGCCTTCCGGACACTCAGCCAATACAACACTAGCGCTGAGATCGCCCACCGATTGCGGACGTACTTGAAGTTCATGTTCGCGCGGCACCCGTACGAGCGCCTGCTGTCCGCCTACCGCAACAAACTGGAGCGCACGTACAGCGACTACTTCCGCAACCGATTCGGCCGCAAAATCGTGCGCCAGTATCGGCCCACAGCCACCAACGAGTCCCTGGACAGAGGCCACGACGTGACGTTTGCCGAGTTCCTGTCCTATGTGTCCCAATTGAATCACACCGACCACAAGCGCGAGTTCAATGAGCACTGGCGCCCCGTCTTTGATCTGTGCCTTCCCTGTGCTATCGATTACGATGTGATCGGAAAGTATGAGACACTGCACAGCGATGTCCAGCTGGTGCTACGCCGGGCCGGTATCGGCCATTTGATACAATTTCCCACTCGGTCTGACACCTATAGCAACCAGCCGTCCAGCGATCTCCTCAACCAATACTATAATAACATATCCGACAGATTGTTAGATAAAATAGCCGATGTCTACCACGAAGACCTACAGCTCTTCCAATACGATAAAGTAATTAATTTAAAACCTAATTAACAAATTATTTATACTTTTTAGGCATAATTAATAATTAAAAAAATGGCAATTAATTTGTAATAAAAATAATGCAATAGTTTTCTACAAATTACTTAATCGTTTCAAAAGCACAAAAAATAATTAAATTGAATACTTAATTATTGAATTATATGTTAAAAGTAAATTAAGTTTTGTGTTGTTTTATTAATTTTTTAATTAAATACTTAATTTTAATTGAATCATAAATAACATGTATTAAACAAATCCAATAAAAATAAATATTTTATACAATTGTTTTCATTGAATTAATGGATTTCAAATAATTTATAATTATTTTATACAAACAAATAAGACTTTTGTTTATTAAAAACCTAATTTCATAACAATTTTTTGTTTTCCATTAGATTCGCCCACAAAAGCGCTTTAATGACTATTTAGTAAAAAATGTTTGCTTTTTGGTTACCAATCATTTAAAAAAGTGTTAACAATAATAAACATTTAAAATAAATTAATAGCATTTACTGTACATTAAATGGGAATAACGGATCAAAAGGCACCCATAGTTTAACATCAAAATTACCCAATGCTTTGGCATATAATATACAAGTTATTATTATATTATAATAGATATTATCAAAGTTATCGTTAAAAGTTGTCAAACTTTTTCAGTGATGAATGTTTGCTAAAAATATTTCCGATGTTTTGAGACAACGAAACTCTTTCAACAGATATGTATTCAGTATATATCACATAACAATTGATAATTTAAAAAATACTATATGCTGTTCAATATATGGTTTCATTTGCTAACAAATATCAAAATACACTAATTGTTGTCAAAAATAACAATTAAATATCCGTTAAATATATATATTCATAAATATATGGATTGAATCTCAAATGGAATCCCGGAATTTCAGTGTTTGCATCAATAATGATAGGGAATGTCATGTCTGGTCCGTCCGGTGGTCGACCCCTAGAGAGGAGGGCTGTCCTCAATGCCCAGCGCTTGACTCACTTGAAGGAAATACTCGTTTTTGAGTGGCAGTGAATAGTATCTCTCGGAGTCGATGCGATCGCAATACGAATGGGAAGTATTGAGTGATTTGAGAGGAGAGATGACAACCGATTCCACTTTAGACCCACTCATCACTTGTTCCACGTCTTGGTGGCCGAACATCACATTTTCCGACAATACGTTTGTTCTAAACTTCTTGTCCACAGAGAATATGTGGCCTTCGGTTGAAAATAGATATTTCGATGAGTCTTTGTTCACAGGATTATCACTATCGAAGAGCTGTCCAATAGATAATACAATCACTTATCAATTAACGGTTAAATTACTTACAAATTTGTAATAAAACAAAAGATGAATGAAAAATAATTATATAAAAGATAAAGTTTAGCGTTAATACTAACCAAATACAAGTATTTACACGTTTCGCTTAGGAAGAAGCTTTCCATACGATCTTCGAGTGACTTATCCATAACGTTATGAATGGTTCCAAAGCCGCACCTAAAGGTCCGATATAAACAAAAAGTTAATAAAACAAAACAAATAATGTGTTGTTAATCACTGACTCAGTTCTTGTATAGTTATTAAGACTGAAGAGTATATCCCTTCCGACGTGAAGATAGAAAGGATTTCTGGTCGCCTGATATAACAAATACGTCGATTCGGCCAACTCTGGCCTCAACGGGTAGAACGAGACGTCGGCACTGATTCGTTGCCAATTGAATCGTTCGGGAAGTACACCAAACTTGCGCCATATGTTATAGTAGAGCGCGTGACCACATATGGCCTCTTCTATATCGCCGGCCAGCACTTGAACGCCAGCCCACGCGGCCTGCAGTGAGTCGATCCACATCGTGGACGTCGTGCCGTCAAACATATTCACGTTCACATACAGCGGGTGATTACCGGAGCCACGATTGCAGTGCACTCTCCCTTTCCGAAGGTATTTCTTGATTTTTTTGTAGCTCTCGGTAAACATTCGGTGGTCTTCGGGTTCGCCAAACATTATATACGACTATACGATACAAAAGCCATTCTTTTAATGACAAATTCAAACAACAAATTCAAGACGACTGCAAACCTTCAGCAGATACTCGTAGAAGGAATCGAGTCCAGCGCCCACTCCACTCATTTTGCCGACCCATTCAGCCGTTTCCACGTCTATAATATTACCAAATAGACCCGTCTGTACGGCTCGGGAGCGCCAGAGAGCTCGAGTGGCGCGTCGGGCGACGCTTTCGTAGACGGGATCGCCTGAAACACCAGTCGGTAAATAATAGTGACAAAAGAGGCGAGAAATCAACGCTTACCTAATAGTCTGCTTAAGAGTCCGAACTCGAGTATAAGAGATCCGGCGCCGGCCGTACACGTATGGGACTCACACCACTTGCAGTCCTCAACGGTCGGTACGCCTGTCTGCAGATTCACCCGCGGATACGGAAGACCTGTTTTGCTTTCAAACGCCTGGAGGAGACGAGCGGCCAAATCGTGGGCCAATTCCAACAGTTGTTTCTTATAGTAACGCGGCTTCAGATCACCGAAAGGCTGGTCCGAGTCCACGATCAGGAGGTGGGCGGACAGGAGAGCGCCCAACACTCGTATGTTGGCCTCAAATACCTGAATGGTGTGGTTCTTATCGAACGATACGTTGTCGAGGACCAGCTGTACGGCCCGTTTGAACTCCGAGGCATTCCTCATGACCGCCAATGTGTCCAAACAGTCGATTAAAGTGAGACAATAGTCGCCCAACACGTCGTTGATGTTGATGTTTGAGGGGTCGTCGAGATCGGGTCCGCGTCCGGCGCACGCGATTGGGTTCAACTCATCCATAGGGAAGGCGTACGTCATATACGAGTCGTAACCGAATTGAAACATCTGTTTCGCCAAAGACAACGACTCCCGGCGTTCGGAGTCAGAGAAGTGGCCGTACTTTCGGTCGTAAACACCCGATCGGGACTCAAATATGTGGTAGTGATTGGACTCTCTCTGCCCCTCATCCGAGTCCGAGCGGTGGTCATCGTTGGAGACAATGGATGTGATGGTTGTGATGATCACCACAAACGCTATGGTTAGACACCATATGAGTGGTGACGACTGGAACCGATGCATACTTCTTGAGGCGTCCATTGATGGCTGACGAGTGATAATGGGATCACGTGTTCACACATTATATCTCATTATATAATAAAATTGATTACAAAATATTGTTTACAAAAACAAAACTATAATTAAATTAAATATTAAATAATAAATGGATTTAAGAAATGATAATAAAAAATACGATTCAATGAAATGTTGTGTTGTTTTCACGTCTAGTCTCAGAGTGTTGTCAGAAGTGTTGTCATCACAAGTGTTGTACGACTACTCACTCCTCACATCTGTTGTCGACTATATTTAACACAATTTGTTATCAAAAAGTTTTGTTTCACTCAATTGTTATGAATTGTGAACTTATTTCTTGTCATTTAATTAATTTAATATAGACTTTGATTGCGATTACAGCTGTTGACTACTGAAGACACTGAAGAGGTATAATCACTCGTTTGTCACCGCAATGTTGTCGACACTTGAATCCCATATCAACCGTAAAATATGTAATACATTTTGTTTGGGAACTGATTTTAAAGACTTTTTTATTTTGTAGACACCGTTTCGGTGACCATTGCCGACGGCAACCGCATTACAGTTAGTATTCATCTCATTCACCATCACTTGTATATTAATAATGTCTATTAGTTTCTTAAATTGGTCACATTATGTCTTGTAATTCTTTGTTTAATGGTTTCTTGTTATCACATCTGTTATCATATCAGTTGCCCTTTAAATCAAATTTAAGTTTTATTTATTTATCTAATATTATATTAATCTCTGAATAGATCGACGATTTGGTTGACTTATATCGAGATTTTGCCAAAACTCCGATTCCTATCTCCGGTCGACTTTCTGTCGGCGATAATGAGAGAGAAAAGTGTTTACGAATTGATTGGAAAGTACGAGATATGGATCGCTTGGAAGCGACCAAACATACGACCCATCACTCCATCAAACTATCCAAAGATGGGATGACTGTTAAACACATCACAACTGTTGGCCAACCTTTGGATGTGACCAATGAGTCTGTTATTCATTACAAATGTTTAGTCAATAAAATTAATTGAAATTTGATAATAGTTTGGCCATAACTTCGAGAGCAAAGGGATCTCATTATATGGCAGTCGTCCGCAAAGGAGCCAAAGACCCGGAATCGGGAAAAACTAAACAATGGCTCGAAATATGGGATAAAACTACAAAAGTTAAGTCAATAGACTTGGACTCAGTGGAAGAACATTCAACTCTTATATTGGATCCGTTGTTGAGTAACATATTGTGGTCACCGAATGGCAAACAACTACTATATGTCGCCGAATATAAACCACCGAAACCTCAGTCTTATTACAAGAAAGTGAACAAAACGTTAGAGAATTCAGGCAAAGAATTGGATTCAAGGGATTCAAGGGGTCAGGAGTTTGTGTACAGAGAGGATTGGGGCGAATGTTTTGATGGCATTAGTCATACAGTGATTGGTATTCTTGATGTTGACAAAGACTTCAAAATACAAACTATCGAAAAGAGTGGTTACTCTTTGGGTCAACCCTTTTGGATCGGAAACGGAGATCAGATTGGATTCGTTGGTTGGGCTGAAGAGCCCAGACGTTTAGGCATAACCTATTGTCCAAATCGTTTGAGTTTTATATTTACAATGAATTTGAAAACTGAAGACTCTGTTCCACAACTGATTTGTGGTACAGAAAACTCAAGCATCAGAAACCCGCGGCCACTGACCGACGGAACGGGTTTTGTGTATCTGGAGAACAAAAGTGGAAGTACTCACCGACAGGCGAGTCGACTATTGCGGTATAGTTTTGAATTAAAAACTTCTGAAATTCTTATCGACACGAATGGCGTCCGAGAGATAATAGATACCGAAAGTGGTCTCAAATACGGAAAAATAAGCGCTTTATTTGTTGAAGAGATAACAGAAAACTGTTTTACTTCTGACGGAAAGTTTTTAATATTGAATTGTTTTACTGAACTTCAATTAGTCCTCTGTTTGTTTGATTTGAAAACCAAACAATTGATTCCAATTGAGTTTCCGCTGCCATCCCTTCAACTCCTGGATCTGAACGACAATGTCTTGATAGCCGTCGGCTCTGCGCTCAACACTAAACCCAATATATTTGTCGGTAAACTTAATTATAGCGATAATACAAAACCATTGGTTGAGTGGAAGGAAATGGAGACTAATTCAAGCGATTTGCTGAATGACATATCGGTTGACAACTTTTATATCCCGAGTGAAGACCCAAACAAATTGTTGACTGCAATTCTGGTCAGTCCTAAAGCGGTTGAATCACAGCCGACGGCCACTGTTATTATGCCACACGGGGGACCACATTCTCGCTATGCAAACACATATATGATTAATCCGTCTTTATTAGCGAAGATTGGATTAAAGACATTACTCGGTATTTACTTGAATTTGAGATATTTGGAGATTTATTTATATTCAGTGACTAATTAATCTCCAATTGTATAGTCAACTACAGGGGATCCATAGGAGTTGACGAAGACTATGTGAATGATCTGATCGGACACGTGGGCGACAACGATGTCCGCGATGTCGTTCATTGCATCAAATATTTGAGTGACAAAAGTCTTATTGACTCATCGAAACTGGTTCTGTGGGGCGGATCTCACGGCGGCTTTTTGGTCACACATCTGAGCGGACAGTACGCGCACATGGATTTTAAAGCATGTGTGGCTCACAATCCAGTTGTGGACATATCATCAAAATTTGACGGCACAGACATTCCCGACTGGGGTTATGTTGAAGCGTTTGGTAACGTTAAGCCATTTTCTTTCGACACCCCATTAGACCCAAACTTATTGAGAGTGATGTTCGAGAAATCACCCATTAATTGGATATCAAAGGTAAAGGTGCCGACACTTATGATGTTAGGCAAACGTGACCGTCGGGTGTCGTGGACTCAGGGCCTCAAATATTACCGCATACTTAAAGCTCGTGGAGTGAAGACCCGGTGCCACGTATACGATGACAATCACGGCCTGCAGAAGGTTGACGTCAATGGAGATTATTGTGTGAATATTTGTCTTTGGATTCTTGAGAATTTAAGTTAATATATTTCCTATATTTTATAATAATATGATTGTTATAATCTTTTTGTTTTTAATAAATATTTGATAATAGGTTGAACTCAATCTCAACGAAAAAAATAAAGTAATTTAGTTTGCGATAAAAAATGTAGATTTTGTTTAAGTTTCTTTGAATTCTTTACTTATTAACAAAGCTTTGATTGAATAGTATTTTTTAAAATACTAGACTTTATTGCGGTTTTACAGAAGCGATGAGTACTTAATAAGTGTTAATTGAGACCACCGTCGAGACCAACGCATTCAATACACAAATCAATTGAAAAGCTATTGTGTCTGTGAAACCAACACATGCGACGACGCGCTTCTCAATTCACTTATGCTAATGCCATGACTGCCCGCACCGGCAGGTGTTGCTCTTCCCTCCCCATCGCACCACCACTTGACGATTACATTACAAACACGTCTACACTAAACACTAAAGTCATCTATTTTTGCATTCACTTCACGACAAACAACATATAGTTTTACTCCTAAAAGAAAAACACTTAAACTATATCTTCTGATAGAATATCATATTTTATATTATATTTATAAAGAATATTCTGATAGCGGGGATAACCAATGGGTGTGTATTGACAAACGCTGCACACAATGCTTACTACAAATGGTGATCCCTCTAATATATTGTATATTTTAATCCGCGATCATTTGAAATTTACATAATATTCAATGCTTTTATTTGCAAGAAAATAGGTTTATATATCAAATAGGATTATACTGTATATTACAATATGTATGTTGAGATTTAGCTTTCGTTTAAATTACATGCAATTTTGAAAATCAGATCGACTGATGTCTTGATTTAATATGTCTTTCGAGATCCCGGCGCCGAACCAACACTTTGCCACAGAGTCGGCACTTATATGGCGTCGACTGATGAGCGCCGGCAGCCGTGTGTTGGGAGTGAAGGCGAATGTGTTTATTGAGGTTTGAGGGGTTTAATGCCATGACTGCCCGCACCGGCAGGTGTTGCTCTTCCCTCCCCATCGCACCACCACTTGACGATTACATTACAAACACGTCTACACTAAACACTAAAGTCATCTATTTTTGCATTCACTTCACGGCAAACAATATATAGTTTTACTCCTAAAAGAAAAACACTTAAACTATATCTTCTGATAGAATATCATATTTTATATTATATTTATAAAGAATATTCTGATAGCGGGGATAACCAATGGGTGTGTATTGACAAGCGCTGCACATAATGCTTACTACAAACTGTGATCCCTCTAACAGTAATATATTGTATATTTTAATCCGCGATCATTTGAAATTTACATAATATTCAATGCTTTTATTTGCAAGAAAATAGGTTTATATATCAAATAGGATTATATTGTATATTACAATATATGTTGAGATTTAGCTTTCGTTTAGATTACATGCAATTTTAAAAATCAGATCGACTGATGTCTTGATTTAATATGCCTTTCGAGATCCCGGCGCCGAACCAACACTTTGCCACAGAGTCGGCACTTATATGGCGTCGACTGATGAGCGCCGGCAGCCGTGTGTTGGGAGTGAAGGCGAATGTGTTTATTGAGGTTTGAGGGGTCACTGAATGGCCGGCCACAGAATCTGCACCGTAACGGCTTCTGACCCGTATGTGTCCGCACGTGTATTTTGAGGCCATACTTTCGAGTGTATATTTTACCTATATTTTAGACGCGTTTTAATTAATAAAAATAATATGACAGTGATAAATAAATGTTTATAAACGTTTTTACCACAATATACACAGGTGTGTGATTTGGGCTCAGAGATTGCCTGAATTGACTGTCCATCTGCAACAATGGCCCCAACAGTCTCTCTTTTGATAGTTATGGGCAAACTATCCTCTATTACTGATTTGCAGTCAGTTGTCAGATGTATTTTAAGCGGATTTGGTTGACCAAAATTCTGTCCGCATCGGTCGCATCGGTAACAGTGACCGTTGATTATATGATTGGGTTTAAGAAATGGTATATTCATATGAAGTAAGAGCGAGTCTGAAAGCCATACTTTCAGTTCCTCTCCTTTCTCTATGTGTCTGATTGTTGTCAAAACGATTGCCGTCTTATTATGGCTTAGATTTGCCGTTAAGTTCTGTTCGAAGCAATTCTTCGCGATTCCCACTAATGGTATCCAATCTATGTGTTTATCAACGCATAGGACACCCATTTGAGAGACAAACGCCTAAACAATGTTAAAACAATTTTAATAATATTGCTCATTTTAATTGATAATATTATATAAGTTTGCATACCTTTAGTATACAGTTAACAGGTTTTGTTGTGTTGAATATCCGGGAGAGAGTTAGACGTGAAATGAATGGCAAAGTGGAGACATTGACGGGTATGTGAGAGACAGCGACGACCGCCACTTCCATCCGACTCTCTTCGCTTTGATGACCAAAACCAGTAGTGGTGACCATAGCTGGTGTGTTGTTATACACTAACTGTGGCTGTGTTTGCAGACAAATCACTCCCGCATTCATTGCTCTCTTCAGGCAAAGTGATGGCATCGATGACGAGCGCCGACATCATCGCCACCGCAAAACTCAAAATCATTTCCTCCACAGCTGTTGGAACACAGAGTTTGCAAAAATAAAAACTTTTTTTGGCATCACTTTAATGCTGTGCATAATTGAAGAATCACTTGTTCTCTTTCATCTCCATCACTCCTCTCTCTCTCTCTCTCTCTCTGTCGGTCGGAGAGTGAAGTGGTTTAAAATATGGTATGTGTGTTGACGAGGATATCATCAATTGGTATATTATGGCGTCATCTGGAAAGGGATGATCTTTTTCCCACTTAAAGAGTCACCACTACTACAGCCACAGCCGGTGCCACAGCTATGTGTATGAGTTGCGTGTATTACCAGAGAGCCGGTGCCCGACTTTTTGTACAGTACTATAGCGTTAAAAGTAATGATAATAATATGACTTATAAGTCTGTTTTCCATGATTTTGGTATTATATACAATAACTTTTAATTTATTTATGTAATTATTATTATTTAAATTAAAATATAATTTTAAAATTATTATATTTTAAAAAATTAATTTTGTTATACAATATATTTGAGAAATAATAAATTATTATTATTATAGAATTTTAATACAAATTCATTGTTTAGTATAAAGAGAGTTGACTGTAGATATAGGGGATGCTGTGGAGAGAGGAATAAGTTAGTACTATAATAGTGATGTTGAAGTTGCGATAATGTAAACC